AGTGATCCAGAATGGATTCAAGTGTTTCTGTTGTTTTCAAATGTCTTTCATGACTTTTCAGCATTTTCGGAAAATCCTGCCTAAATTTTATTTTTCAACTCACAGTTTCAAGGAATTAAAAATCCTTTCAAATACATTCAGCATTTAGGCCCCAGGAAATAATTAAATATGGATACCGTCTTTGCGTAAGGTACACTGTCATGCAAACATAGGATTATGTATTAATAATTGAGTCACAGGTTTCTTCCTTAGGACAGATTTTTACCACTCAAAATTGTGTGTTGATATGTTCTGTACTTAGAAGCAATGCAGCTGCATTTCTTTTCAAAATAATCTATATCTGGGATTGCTTACCAAATCCTTATTTTGTATTAGAAGTTTCCTTTCACTCAGTGGCACTGTGACGGTTCACAGTGGGGAAAGGAACCTGCAGAACCTCTGTTTCAGACCTGACCCCAGCTACCATGCTTTGAGGTGGGGGGAGAGGGGCCAGGAAGCAGGTAACCAGCCACTCCTCCACCATTACCAAGCTCCTCTGCAGAGGTGTTGTTCCTTAAAGCCGAAAACAAGCCACCTCATTTCAAAACACACGCACACAGACAAAACCTCATTTCAACACAGTTATTTCCCTCTTTCTGTTTCTCTGCTTTGCCTCACGGAGGATTTCTGAGAAACGAAAAAAACGTCACCTCCCACAGTTTCAGTCTGCAGTTTTGTTTTAATGATGGAGAGAAGAGTTAGAGAAAGGAGTATGCTGCCTGGGCATACAGTATTGACCTAAAACTTCACAGATTAAGAGAAATGCCCTTCCCACAGCCCTTCAGCTGAGGTGGGCCCCACCTTGTCTCAGATCTGGGCTTTCAGGGTCTGAAGAAATACACAAGCTGTCCTCTCAGGAGATGTCAGCAACAGAGCAGTGAAACCCAACAGCTGCTCCCTGCAGCAGCCCAGCTGTCCCCGTCCCCTCCCCCCGCCTCATTCCCACCAAGGACAGGAGGTGGGTGGGAGCCGCTCCAGGCAGCCTCAGGAATGGCGGTGTGCGCTGAGGATGGGATGCATGAAAGATCTGGGCATTGAGATTCAGGAATAAAATGTTCATGAAGGAGATGTTTCCTAGGGAAGCCCCTTCCCTCCCCCCAGATCTGAACACCTGAGTCGTACCAGCCCTGTAGGGGAGGCTGAAATGTGTAGCACAATTTGTGAAACCAGCTCCTCCTACTAGACAAGAAAATGAGCTGTTTTTAGGGGCACAGAATTAAAGCCATTTCTTAATCAAAATAAAGTAGAAAACTCATCAAATTCAGGTAGCAACCCAACAGTTAAACACTTTTTTCCTTGTCTGCTTCCCTGGCTGTTTCCCAGCACACCTTGTTCCAGGACAACTTGAGTAAACACACATGTGACCACGGAGGGCGGGAAGAAAACCAAGTGGGGGTGGTGAAATTCTGAATGGAATGCAGCCCCAGCTAGTTAGGGGGCTTGGACTGAGACTTCTGGCACTGGCTGAGGATTTAAACAGGCAGAGAAGCCAAAACAATGAGCTCATGGGCAAGAATGCAGCCTGTGGGGAAGTCTGGGCAGTCAGAGCAAACTGGTTTTTTGAACCAGGATGGGAATAGCTGTGATCAAGTCTCCCACGGGAACAGGATTAGGGCGAGTGGAGCCACCATTCAGTATCTTAGGGTCCAGCTGAGTAACTTTTGAGGGGCTGTTCTTTATTAGTAAATTCTGTTCTGCAGAGAGCTTAGCAGGTCTGTTTAAAAACCTGGTTCCTTTCCCTGCTTTTGTGAACTTGGGTGGGTAAAGGATGAGATGGCTGGTGGGATGTCTGAGTGAGCTATCCTAGGTGCTCTTAAGATGACTTTGTTCACAGCAGCTCTGCCGGTGCCAATTCCTACACCAGGGGCCAGTGATGGGTCAGATCCTTAGGGTGTGTGTGTTCAGGGCCAACTCGTTAACAAGACAGAGGAAACAACAGTGTCTGTCTTCTTTACTTCCCAAATAAACTCAACCCACCTGGCGGTGTGGGGCCAAATTCAGACTTCTGAGACCAAAAGAGAGATTTTTTTTTCCTACCAATGTTTTGCAGTACTTTTATATAAGGCCCCAAATGGAAGAAACTGGAGAGATACAGCATTCATTGGCCATTATGGTGAAGGGGAAGGCAGGGAGGGGAGAGGAGAAGAAAAAAATTACCTATGAATCTCCCCCTCTCCTACCCCCAGCCGAGGTTCTCAACTCCATGCTTTTGTGCGTGTTTCCTACTCACTTTAAGGTCCAACCTCAAAATGTTTACTCTGAAGCCTTCTTGACCACCTCCTACTTCCAGAAGTTGTCACCCTGCTTTGTCCCACCCCTTGTCCTATATACCTTTATTATAGCACTTTGTACACTGTATTCTGATTATTTTTGTCTGTGGCATCATTCCTGCTAGACTGTGAGCTTTAACGCTGTGCTACAACTGCTTGCTTTCTGTGGGTTTGTTATGCACACATTCTTCAGATGTATGTCCCAAGAACAAGGATAATCTTTTACATAACCACGACATAATACACTCAAGAAACTGAACACTGATACGGGACTATCTCACACATTGCCCACATTAAACTTCCCCCAACTGTCATCTCCCTTACAGCTTTTTTTCCTCCAGGATGCAAAGATCATTTAGTTGTCATGTTTCTTTTGACTGCTCCCTAGTTTTGTTTTTGTTTTTGTCATTGAGCTAATTCCACTGTGGTGGACAAATCATTTTAAAGTTAAGATTTACTTTGTGGCCCAGTACATGGTCAGTATTAGTAAATGTTACGTGTGCACGTAAAAGAATGTATTCTGCCATTGTTGGGTGGAGCAGTCTGTAAATGTCAGTTTGGCCTGGTTGGCTGTCGTGCTTGTCAAGATTTCTATTTAATTGATTTTATGCCTGTTTGTTCTATCAGTTATTGAGGGAGGGGCACTGAAATCTCCTACTATAAATGTGAACTTCTCAGTGTCCTCTTACACTTTTTTTTAAATGAGTTTTATTTTAAAAATATTTTAGTATTGCATTATTTTATTAATTTTTTGGCAGGGGAGTGATTAGGTTTATTTTTAGAGGTACTGGGGATTGAACCCAGGACCTTGCACATGCTAAGCAAATGGTCTACCACTTGAGCTATACCCTCCCCATCCCTAGTCTTTTCTGACTGACTTCCTTGAGGGGAAGAATGTCTCTATAATTCCAGCATCCAACAGTGCATGGTGCACAGTAAGCAGTCCCCTGACAGGTAATAATAAATGAAGATGCAACAGACATCTGACTGCCTTGAGCTTGCTAAATGTCTTAGCTCACTGCAGTGTCAAACATTCTTAATGAACTAAGGTAATCCCTGAATAGGGTTTGAGGAGAGAAGGCAAAATGGGTAAGAATACAGAAACAAGCCATGGAAACAGATACTTGGAGGGGGTAAAATTCAGAGTAGTATTCTTGGCCCAAACACACTTCCCGCATCAGGTAGTACTATGCAGGTTAAGAAAGTAACTGCAAAAATGAAATCAGCATAGATAGCATGGGAACAAAAGCCTGCCATAAGTATTCTTTTTACCTCATGAGAATCATTAGTAAAGAACTCTGAATTCTGAGAGATCTGTTCCATCTGCCTAGAGGCAGAGTCCCAACCCCCATCTTCCCACATGCTTCACATAACTAAGATAACATTGTAACCACTTGGAAACTAAACAGGGACAGAGTTAAAATTTCCAATCTTGAAACCAGAAGCCTTGAACAGTGTGGGAGGGTTCAGGAAGACAAAGTTCTACAATCACTGAACAAGTGGAGCCAAAAGGAACTAGGATAAATTCAGACAGACACAGCCGATCAGCTCCAACCCCAGGAATTAAGGGCTTGTACTCTGGGCATCTGGCTGGAGCCATGCTACACACCAGTTGGACAAATTATTTCACTTCAACTTTTGTAAAACCCTCCAGCTGTCACAACTGCTTTAAAGAAAAATGTTCTGAAACAGATAAGCAAGAGCTGGCACTAAAGTTGAAAAACGGAACTAAATAAAAAGCCCAGTTGTGTCAGATGAGGGGAAGCGCTGATTATGTTGACACCCTCAGTGACTCATGCTGCTGGTTACCATTTGACTCAAGGTTTTAACGTGTTAAACTAAGGAATATTGCCATAGAAAGAGCTTCTTCACATCACAACACAGCAACGGGTGCAGTAGTGCCGTGCAGAATGTAACTCGGATCAAGATTTGGGCCTCAAGTCCTGTGCTATCCACCCTCCACTGCTCAGCTTGGGAGTTCACTGTACAAAACAGTTTTCTTTGTAATGATAAAAAGTTGCCCCCTTTTGGTAGTCAAGCTCCAGCAAGAGAGGGGCTGCCCAACAGAAATGCACAAAACCTGATAGGGGGAAAGCCCAGAATCCTGTTCGCATGACTAGTAGCATTTGGTGTCCGGGCTTAAAAACCAATATGCAAATCTCCTATTTGCACGTTTCCATGGTGACTGGCTCCCTTTCAAGGTAGCTGTAAATAAGAGGCAGGACAGGGCTTCTGATACTGACTTCCTTATTCTCACCTTTCTCAGGGAAAAGGGGAAAGTACTGAAGCGTGAGTACGAAGAACCTTATCAAAAGTCTTAATTCTTCTAGCTCTTTCACTCATCTCAAAAGGTTTAATGAGATGGGGAGATTCAATAACCCCTGTAACGAACCCTCTTAACCCAAGTTATACCAACACTAGAAGATATCAAGACAGGGAATTTGATTTCTGTATTAAGATGTACAGGAACTATTCCAAACTACAGCAGTAATACATTTAATTAAAAAGCCAACACCTCTAATTTGAATGAAAGAAGGGGTTTTTCTGAAGGAAACTTCTGCTCTAAGGCAAATCATTTTATGGGGCTTTTGCTGTTTAATTCACCTATTTGCTCAGCTGACATGCCTCAGATTAATTGCCTAAGAGGGGGAAGGAAAACAGGAATGGATTAGAAAACAACCGTACCACACCTTGTATTTGAATAAAAGATTTATTTTCTTCTCAGGAAAAACAGGAAGTTAGGGAAACACACATTTACAGCCCACAGTAATTTGTAGTTGGTCCTAACCCTTCCTGGCACAGCTGTCAACAGCGTTAGCTGTTTAACCAGAACCAAGGTGTTTACCCCCAATAGAATGTGCACGGACGACACTAGAGGACTGCAGGTTTCTCCCTGAGAGAAGCATCAGAAAGAAGTTGCTGAGCAAGCCATCTTTCCAAGCAGCCCCTCCTCCCTTTCCATGTTGGAGGATTTGCCTGAACTATGCAGCTAGTCAGCACTTAAGAACACATGCCTCCTCTCCCTACAGAACCACCCACTCTCCCCCCTAGAGCACTTGGGCTCCCTAAGCCCTCACAGCCCCTGACCCAAAATATCACCTAAGATCCTCATCTACATTTCAGCAGTCATACCTAGTAAACTGGGAAATGGGGCCCCTAAACTCCACCAATCTACATCTCTGCACTTAATTCCACAACTGGCTATGGGGAGACAGGCCTTTTAGTCACGTAACCAGATCTTAAGATTTATTAACTACATAAAGTGCTTTTAGGTCCTTAGAGACAGACATGATATAAATAAGTGGTCTATGATCAAGAACGATAAATACACAGGTAAAAATAGCTCTAGCTAGATGACCTTATGGCTCGGAGATGGGCGGGCAGGGCAATTCTTCCCTATTACATTCTTAGTCATTTTATTCACGCCTATTTGTGTCTGGCGTCCACATACTAAAGGTCACACTCGGAGGCTGAAGCTTTCAAATGACCCTAGTTCCTCTATGGAAGCTTTCTTCAGCTTACCAGTAGCTTTTATGTAACTGAGGTCTACTAGAGCCCACCAATTTTTACAACTTTCAGTGAGCACATTTAAATGCAAAGGAACTTGAGAGGTTAAGACGTTGTTCTCTATTCTGAAAATCCCTAACAGGACTTTTGAAATTTTCTCCCCAAGACAGGATAAAGCAACAACCAAAAAGGTATCAGTCAAGGAAAAGGGACTCTTCTTACGTCATGACTGTTACTGTCAGCACCCATCGTACAACCACCTCCTGAGGACAAAATTCAAGAAGGATGGAAGTCTGAACTCTAGGGTCGCCACTTAGGTTCCTAGTGCCAAAACTAAAAGGGCTAGTAAGAGTTCATGGATGGCTTGGTAAATCTGTAGAAACCAATATATATGAGTAACTGCAGAGGAAGCAGAACAAGCAGCAAGAAATTTCAAGGAAGGATAGGAAGCAAACGGTAAGTATGATAAAACATCAAGTCTTAAATCCACAAGAGATGCCAATGTAATACAAAAATTTGAGACAAAGCTTAAAAATCATTAACAGAAATGAAGTACTTGTTTTATTAATATACTAGGCTTAGACCCGTGCTTAACAAGCAAGCCTAATAATAGCACCATGGTTATTAGACTATGGCCTGCTTTTCCAAGCCATCATTTTACAATTTATTAAGCAAATAAGGGATCAAATGTCTCTCATCCACCTGATATGATCTTTTTATATATACTGCTAATAAGTCCCACTTGGAACAGCTGAAAATCCTTTAGCAAAAGCTTTGAAGATTAGCTCATGAGCTCAGTTTAAATTTCACCAATTAAACGAGGTCAAATGAAAGGAACTCAAATGAGTAGTTGCCCAATCAGAGCCCATTATTTTTAAGTCATCAGCCTGTGTGCCCCACTCCCCAAATACAACTCTGCCTTGACTCAATTTTTGACAATCCACATATAATGAAGGATTAATTTCTATTCCTCAATTTCTCAGTCTCAGGTTAAAAAAAAAAAATCGAAACCAAAACCCCGCTCTGCCCCAAAACCTATCTAAGGAATACTTACCAAAATGAGATAGGAAAAATTAAATCCTGCATAGTTATAAATCAGAATTGTTCCACTACAACCAGGTTGCATACAATTACATCAGTTGGTTTTGTATACAATCTAGGACTAGAACAAAGTTTACAATAGAAAAGCTGTAAGAAATAGGTTCCTAACTACAGAAGTTGTAAATTTCCAAGGGTATGAAAAAACTAAATTCCACTTTCCCCTCTTTACATTTCAAATAATTTTCTGTAAAATATACAATTTTTACAGACAAATACATTTACAAGTTTTTGTCTTAAAAACTGAGGATAATCCTAATTCATAACTGTAATTGAGCCTTATCAAGTTCCTGGCCATCACACTAGGCTAACAGACCAAGAACCACGCAAAACAAGTCAAATCTGAACAGGTATAAACGTCCTGAGCACTTGGACTTTCTATTCTTCAGGAAGTACACCTGGGAAAGCAAACAGAGGAAACAGCTTCCCCTGACTGTTGTACAGTACTGAGGCTTCTAGTCATAGTTCCATCACTTGTAGCTTAAATCCATTGTGCACACACCACTGGCGTTGTTAGTGCTTCTCTTTTAACTCTATAAAAAGTTAATGAATTCAATGGGCATATTTAATGAACTCTGTGACTACCCCGGCTACTGGCCACTTTCCTGTTCTAGGCAAGATAGTCTCTCCACTTTTATCATCGTCACTAAAACTAAAAGTCCTCTTCCATGGCCTCCTTAAGTTTGCCTGTTGCCGAAAACAAGCTCGGCTTCCTTCAGACAGTGAGAGAGGGGATTACTTTTCCCATGTATTTATTTCTTTTAGCCACAATCCTCCTGCCACTTGTTTTTCTCCCTTGCTAGAGAAGAACTTGTGGAGGTTACAGCTTGGACAGCTTGAAGTCCAATTCATAAATACATTTGATTTCACAGCAGATGCATATGGTTTTGGTGGCTGAAGTTGGTCGAGCCAATTATTGCACTTAAAAGGCTATCTTATTAGATATGCCAAACCAGCTCCTACTCCAGCAACACCTGCAAAAGCCAGCAGCACATTTCTGATGCCACCTTCTAGGTCCTCTACATGGAAGAACTCCACAAACCCATCCTAGAAAACAAAAAAGAAAAGCACATTTTCAAGTATGGGCTTCCACTGGCTTAAAAACACTACTTACAAAGAAAAGATAAAAGTATTTAAGGTTCTCCCCAAAATGCAACATGGAATCAATTATTATTTACTCCCAGACTGCAAAAGAGACACACATTATGCAATTAAAAGGGAGGGGGCCTCAAGAATGAATGTAATTTACTCTCATCCCCAGGTGATTCTTATTTCTTCAAAATTTGAATCCACTGGTGTGAGGAGTATCCAGCTGAATTACAATAAAATGCCCAAAGCAAAAGGCTCAATGAGTAAAAGAGCCTACAGAAAAACAGGATTTTTGATGCAACAGTTCAAGACAATCATACCATACTCTCCATACCCACTACTTAATATCAACATCAAGCAACCAGATGTCCATAAGTTAGAGCCTGAAAACTGAATTATGCATCTTAAAAACCTTTAGATATCTGGGCTTTCTCCATTCCACTTCCACTCCAAGGCCCCTCTTCAACCTTAGAACTTACCCAGCCTCTTTGTTTGACTAGCCAGTCTCGTTTTGTCCTTACGAGAACATCTGTGATGCTTTCTGCCAATGGTTCGATGCAGCTTTCTTGGTTTATACTCTTCAAGTGTTTGGCCACAAAGGCACCAAAAGAAATAAGAGTCACAATCCTGCCCCAGTTTGTTACTCCGTCACTGAAAACATGAACCATCACTCGAGACAAAGATTTGACATCATCTTCGTTTTTGATGTCCAGTTTCCGAAGCATGCCTGAGAGGAAGAAAAGCATGCAGGTTCTCACGGCTTCCTTTGTCTAAACCAGGGCACGATTCTCCTGCCCACTCACGGCGGGGGAAATCGCCATTTGGGCTCTATAGAACTAAGGCCGATCCCGCTTAAAAATTGACATCCCACCCTTTCCGGGCTTTGAACAGAACTGCCATTTCCAAAAGACTCAAGTGGGCGGAAACAATGACTCACGGCCAGAATATTCTGGTTTCAGAAATACGATGAGAGTCATTTCAACTGACTCGTTTCGGTTTCCACCCATAGAAGGTGGGTGAGTCCAGAGAGCCGAGAAAACCAAGTGCGACCTTCGCCACTAACCCGCTTACCTTGGAAGGCCGTCTCGTGGTTGCGCTGCACACCGTCCCCGACCCGTCGTAGGGTCTCTAACGCCTTCCGGATGGCGCTCCCAGACCCGCCCACTGCCTTCGCGTCCTTGGCGCCGGTGGCCTGCTCCCGAAGGTACCGAGAGATAATCTCCAGTGACTGCCGGTACAACTCGTCCTCCTCCTCCTCTGCGGGGGGAGGCGTCGAGGGAAGTGAGCCGTCCGTGCAGGGGCCACTACTGGCCTCCCCGACCAGCTCCAGCAAGGGCAGGACGGCCGGCCGCTTCGAGAGAGGCTCCGGCTCGTAGCCGTCCAGCTCCTCTTCGGGCGACATTATGGCGTCGGAGGCCGGGGATTCCATCTCTTCAGGCGGCGACGCGCGGCGGGAGGGCGCGAAGAATAGCAGCCTGGTGGGGGTCGCGGTGACG